ATTGATGCCCTAAGCAAATGTTTAACAAATTTATACTATGTCACGGCTCTCTTGGAGCTCCAAAACCCAACCTACACCACTGGTTATCCTGCTCCCATGATCCATCCACAAAGAAAGTGAAGGTAGGTCAACTTAGTTTGAGACACCGCGTTGCAGTTGGCCCCTTCTCTGTCGTACTCCCTGAGTAGTTTGCGAAAAACCATGCCCCGGCTTCTTTTCTGGCAATTCTCAATAATGTCCGCCGGTGCTCTGTCTATTACCTTGAAAAATTTTATTCATTTCGTAGCTTTCAGAAGTACCAAAGGATCCATGAAAAAGCTCTGTTGATCTCCGTCAGCTCAGGTATATGCCAAAAAAGATAATATGGCAATGACGAAATCGAAAAATTCAATATGGTTAGCTAGATATCTCTTTCTCACTTAGTACATTTTATGTTTCATATATTTTCCAAACTTCTTATTTTTGTAGGTTTAAGTGATGTGGTTATGGAGCTTCTAGCAGAATACATAAAATGACGAGTACAACACAGGTAAGCTGTCTCGCATTCTTTTCCTTACTGGTTTTAAAAGTGATGTAAATCTGAATTCGGGAGCTCTGTACATAATTTATTCTTTGAGAGCTTAACTCGTGGGCCCTTACGCATAGTCTTTACAATCAGAACATGCAACAGAAATTAGCATATAAACTCTCAAACAGTTTTAAGCGGCATTCCAAAAAGACAATGGTGGAGTCTCAGAGTTCTTGAAAGTGGGCACAATGTCACTGCATCTTTCTCCTTTCACAGAACCTGGTTGCGCGAGGGCCTCAAGCGCAGACATCTCTTCGGGAGTGAGTTTCTGATTGAAGTTTTCGATCTTAGTGGTTCCTGGGATGGGGCAAACATCATCTCCCTGGTGGTGAACCCAAGCGAGGGCTAGTTGTGCTGGACTGCATCCTTTCTTCTCTGACATTGCACCAACTTTATCATAAAGAATCTTGTTGTGGTCTAAGTTTTCTGGTTGGAATCTTGGTAGAGATGTCTGCAATACAAACAAAATTGAGCAGATTAACACTGAGTTGATGTTTCGACCAAAAAAAAAAAAAAAACAGTGAGCTGATGTATCTAAGGTGCATCAATCAAACAAGTCATACAAAATCCTATGTACTTACCTTTATGAAGTCATTATTGTCTAGGTTCTCAACAATCTTGGGTCCAGATGCGAAGAAACCTCGTCCTAGAGGACTGTAAGCAACAATACCGATCCCAAGCTCCCTGAAGAAGGAAAGAGAGAACATGAACTTACATGATTGACGCCAAGAAAGGAAGATGAAATCTGGATACCTGCAGGTTGGGATGACGTCTTCTTCCGCGTCTCTCGTCCACAAGGACCACTCTAACTGCACAGCGGTTATCGGGTGAACAGCATGCGCTCTTCTGATAGTTGAGGCGCAGGCTTCAGACAGACCGATGTACTTTATTTTACCCTCTTCAACTAGCTTCTTGAGTTCTCCCATCTTGGAATTGATAGACAATATTTAGCAAAAGGTACCGGTTTTATATAAAAGTCAGAAAGTGTGGCAATATTTAGCTCAGAACCAACCCAAATTGATAGATGAAGGAAAGACTGATTATAATAGGTGACGATAAATGAAAGGATTCGACTTTGAGACAAATTCACTCAGTCAGAGATAACTTCACCAGATATTGGTTCTTCAGTCAATCATATCAGAAAGAGTGTTCCAAGGGGAAACATAGTCCTAAAATCTATTTTCTTCGACCCTATTAGTCCGAACATATCCAAAGCCAAAGATGTAGACCTCACTGGACTACACATAACACTTGCATTTCATTTGAAAGGTAAGAAAGGCTTATAGTGATTTCGATAGGGACACGAGTATTAACCCGATGCTGATAATAAAGATCGATGCAGGCAACATCGAGCTGCTTTAAACTAGCTTCACAAGCAGACCTAACATACGCAGGATCTCCCTTTATCTCTCTCTTTCCATCTGCATAATTGATTCCAAATTTGGTCCCAAGTTCCACTTTCTCCCTCACTCCATCAAACTTGAGAGCCTGAAGTAGTAATTCAAAAATCATCTCCACAGAATCAGAGGCCAATTACCATCTCTAAGTCATTCTTTGTTGCCCAAAACAGAAGAAACTCAAATATCTTGGACAATCTCTCGAAAGTCAACCATCTATATAAAATCGCAGATCGAAAAGCGAACCTTTCCGAGGAGCAACTCGTTGGTCTCAGGACCGTACAAGTCGGAAGTGTCAAGGAGAGTGACGCCTGAGTGAATCGCGTGGTGGAGGAGAGCGATTGCGTCAGTTTCCGGCGTTGAAGGACCGTAGCGAGGGGAGAGGCCCATACAACCAAGACCTTGCGCCGATACTTCAAGGCCTTGGCTTCCCAGCTTCATCCTCCTCACTCCGTTAGCTCCCGGCATGGATGAT